AGCTGTGAAAATACTGTCAGTTTTGTAAAAACCTTATAGGTAGCTATTCTCATATTGTAATCCACCGCACTTGTTCTAGAATTTGAGATTGTGACCCACTTTTCACTCAGTAAGCACTATATTCTGCAATGGGATTTTTTACTACTTCACTTAAATCACCGATCCAGCTTATATTCTATTCTGTTTCTGTTTTATCCCCCAATAATTCATTTCAATCTACAGAATTGAAGTAACGGTTGTGTCTCATCCGCGTTAATTCCTATTTGGTTAATAAATACTATCTATATTCGTGGTATTTTGCTACGTCAAAAGGATCAACAGATCTTTGCTCATCCATTGATAATTCAATCTTAACAAAACAGTTTCTCTGAACTAAACCTGGAAAACTAGTTTTCTTTCAATAAAAGAAGCAAGGAAATCGAGTTTTATTTGTTACGAAAGACAAAAACCGAAATTTTCGCAACACAGAGTCATAGGGCCAAGTCGATTTGAAATAACTCCTTGCTTAACTTTATTTCACTCGCAGTTGCTAACATGTGTAAATGTAAATTTTCCGCGAAATGATGAAAGAGCTAAGAATTAGAAAGTGATTCATTTAACAATTTAGTGCTATTAGTGAGTGGCGTTTTTAATCCTTTGTGGATGATCGATCAGTTATCACTTTATGGAAAGAGATAAAGACAGTAACGGTGAATCTCTGAATACTGTTTACGTATGTGTCCTTTTGATTGTTGTAAGTGCAGCTAAAATTACTAAGCTTTTGAAAGGATCTTTACCAGATGTCTTGCTAAGAACTTGAATATGTCCATTTTACATTTTTCACAAATCCACCTTTCACTCCCTTTTCTCAAAATACCTTCCAAGCGTTTTATTCGAATGTCTAAGTAACTCTAGTCTCACCTGCATGGATTCCGATGACTTGGCTCGAATCTCTTTTAGGACAACGAACTGGCGAAAGCCGACGAGAAAACGAAGTCACGAGTGTCACATATTCATGATTTAAGTATTCGTTTACTAAATGTCGCCTTACAGAAAGGAACGCATCTTAGAAGGATAGTTAGTTTCAATTTTATGTAATAGATGTTGCTTGGCTATTATGTTGATAATACAGTTTTGGGTCAAAATACAGCCACACATCAACTGTTTCATTTAGAGTCAAATTGCTAGCTATCAAATCACTGATTGACTGGCTATTCATGGTTCACATCCTTTCATCTAATTTTAGCAATTTCTTTTCAACTTTTGCTTAAAAATTCTGAAAATATCTGCTTTCCTCTCTCCATGCTAACCATCTGATACTGTTATTTTCACCACGTTGGATCAGATTTTATAAGAAAATGCTTCCATTAAAATGAAAAGTAAAAAGACAATAAAAATAATTAATCAAAATAATATTTGTCATATTCATTCTCCTTTCCTTCTTCTCCCTTACTGATTTTCCTCTTCGTTTTCTCCTATACCTTCCTATCTTCCGCACCTTCCACATCTTACTGTATAAAACAATAATTGAGGTCAAAAATGAATTTGATTATCAACAATTATTGCTTTTGAAGGTGAAGGAAAAAGAACTAATGGAGTTACTTCAAGAAACCAAAGCAGTACTACAAAGTCAAAGCACATTTACTGAGATTAATGCGCCAGTGGTTGTTTGTGGTGACATACATGGACAGGTTTTCATTTTTCTTGTAAAATTTAATTGGACGCTTCGTCCAGCCAAATATTATTTCCAAGTTGTCACGGTTTCCTAAAATGCCACAAATATGAATCCAACAGTTAAAAATCTTTCTTCTTAAGTAAGAGAAAAGATAATGGTTGACAGTAGCTTCAATGTGTCAGCGATCAGTTGTAAAAAGAAACTGTGATAGAACTTTTCCTTTATCACAAACAATACATTTAAAATTGTCATTTCGAATTGACACTTAGCTGAATTCAGTTTGTTATCCTGACCTTTTTGGCTACTAGCTTTGTTTACGCATTTTCTAGAGAGCATCGAATGTTGGGAAAAATGTTTGTTTGCGGAAAGTAATTGGAAATATAGCTGTCGTATTATGAATGTTTGCATGTGAAAATGATTAAATAAAAATAAAATGCAGCAAATTACTGACTCTAACAAGTAACAGAACATTTCTAAAACGGTTATTAGCATCAAATGAACGCATGCGCTCAATTATTCAGCTAATGGTGACCGCTGGACAATTTAAACCAGCGCTCATTAAATCCAAACGAGTATGCAGAAATATGTGTACATATATTCTTTATATTAAAAAAAAAAAGAAATATCCAACATGTGATAAACTGGCTAACAATGGCAGGTATCACTCTAAAAGGAAACAAGCATAAGTATGTATAATTAATGCAATTGGCAAAAATTTAGTTAGTAAGTAAAACGATGTCTTAGTGCAATAGTTGACATTTTCAAATAATAGTTCATAAGATTAATGATTCATTATACTTTACAGCAAAAATAAATAACTGCTGAAACATTTCAGTACAGCGATATGCTGCGGATTTTTGACAAATGCGGCTTTCCACCGGAAACAAACTATTTATTTCTTGGTGATTACGTCGACCGTGGCAAACAGTCGATTGAAACCGTGTGTCTCCTTTTCTGCTTCAAAATTAAATATCCTGAGAATTTCTTCTTATTAAGAGGTACTTATTAATTGTGTCTGTGCCACCTATGATTTGGACATTGTGAAATATCTTAATATTACTTCTTGATTATTCAGCTTTTTCCGCGATGTATGGTACATAATGAGAAACTTAGTGGCAGTTTTTTAAAACACTTTAACTAACTGAAAAATTTTGCAAATCTCGAATTAGTTTGAAACTCCCATGTCATTTTATTTGTAAGGTGATATGATTATTTGCAGGGAATCATGAATGTGCTGGAATCAATCGAGTGTATGGATTCTATGAAGAGGTTAATCGACGTTATCGTTCTGTTCGTCTCTGGGAAGTCTTTCAAGTACTAATTTAACGTTAATGCAACTTAGTTGTCAGGAATGAGTGAATAATAAAGTACAACTGCTGAAAATGACTCTCTGAAAAAAAATCAGCATTCAGCATGGCTGCTAGAACTAAACTGAAATTTAAAATTTGAGCAAATGAAGTTGTTGAACTTTAACCTTTAAGCTACATGAATAGATTTTCACATAGACTAGTAGTACCAAAAGTGAGAGATCATTCAAGTAATGGGAATGTTTAGGATACGTTCAATTATCTGCCATATGCTGCTTGTATAGCTGGAAAGATCTTGTGTATGCACGGTGGTCTGTCACCAAAATTGAATAATTTGGATTCGCTGCGCAATATAGAACGCCCATCAGATCCACAACCAACCTCCATGGAACTTGATATCCTTTGGTAGCTGTTCTATCTGTTTTCCTTTTAAGGGTAAAGTTCTTACATAACTATATATTATCGACATACCAAAATTTCAACAGATAATTCTTTCGCATCTATTTACCTGTTTTAAGCAGCTTCCTTGGCTCATTTCGCAGATCTCATAATTCATACTGTTGAAATAGAACTAGGAGCCTCATTCCGTTCATTCTTTACCAGCGGCTATCTCAGCTGCAATGAAATATTTTAAAATTGTGAAGGACTTTAGCAAAGTACAGGTCGGATCCAGACGAAAGAGTACAAGGTTGGCAACCGAATAGTCGAGGTATTTCGTTTGTTTTCGGCGTTGATGTTTTGAAAGACGCATGTGAGAAACTAAACATCGATCTGGTCGCTCGTGCGCATCAAGTTCGTTTAATTCAAGGGTATCAGATTCTAAGAATTTTTCCGAAAGGAAAATGTAAATGTGAATCTTATTCAGGTGGTGCAAGACGGATACGAGTTTTTCGGCAATCGTCGTTTAGTGACCATATTTTCAGCACCACATTATTGTGGCGAATTTGACAATGCAGCTGCAGCGATGAATGTAGCAGAAGATCTCAGTTGTTCATTTCATGTGGGTTTAGCAATTACTGCTTAGTAGTAAATTGGCCACATCACTAATAAGTACAAAATATATATATAGGATAGTCGTATCATTAGCAATTTTTTTTTGTCACTGTAATACAGTTGACTAATGGCAACAATATCAGTGTTCCGAATTTCAGGTATTGGATCCCGAAGCGAACTCTACATCATAAATTCTACTACTCCATCTACTCGTCTAATAAAAAAGCTACCTTAATCCAGATGTTTTCAGGTGTTTAAGCCAACAACAAAAGCAATTCGCATGGCAATGAAACAAAAAGAAAAAGTTGGATAGTTGCAAGCAAAGCTTTACAAAATTACTACTTAATATTGCATTTCAAATAAAATCAGAAACATATTATTTCGACGTAAATATTTTGAAATATCAATTTCGAGCCTTCTGAAGACATTTTTCTGAAAATTGCCACGTATTCCATCCATTACGTCCTTGTTGCAATGAGAAATTCGCTGAAAATTTAGAAGACATTTTTCAAACCGAGATATTTTTTTGGTGTCTCATTTTGATACTTCGATTGCCTCCTTCCGTTCCAAAATGCTAAAGTGACCAATGTATTCCACGACGTTAATTTTGAAGAATTGCAGCAGTTTTTCTTTTTTGTATTAACCCTAAAGTATTTGAATAAACTTATTGTAATTTTTAACTAATGAATTTACATCCTTCGTACATGCTCTGAGCCGTATAATTCAAACAAATCCTTAATTTCTCATACGGCATTGCATGGTTAAACACGGATATCGGCTGAGTTTTCCAGTGAAAAACTGGTGCCAAATAGATGAATAAACGATCTTTTCTGGGTCTGCAACGAATCAGTGGAGCGTGGGAATCTTTTTTTTTGTACGGAAGCAAATGAAGGATGAAAACTAGTAATAAATGGTAGGACATACAGTTCAGTTCTTCTGATGTACGGGTAGTCCTCATCCACTTTGAAGGCATTCGTAGGCCTTCGATAAACAGTTATCGTTGTTGAATTAGTAGTTCGTACAAATGGTAGGGCGTGCAACTGGCGGCCGAACACTACACCTTGTACCTGGAAAGGTGACATCTGGAAATGTCTAGGACAGGAGTAAAGAGTAAAGCTATTGAAAGGAAGTAATTAATTGGACATTAGCATCCAATCGTTTACATTCGTAAGATGTCTGGAAAAGTTAATCTGGATGTTGTAATAGCCGAATGAAACCCTATTTATTTCCTGAACCCATGTGTCTTCGATATCATACTTCTTATAAAAAGTTAATAAGACTTGCTGTACGACAACTTTAAGAAACTTGCTGTACAATAATTTTTAAGGAGACTTGTGATAAAAAATAAGCATAATTGTCGCTTGTCGCGATACTAAATGCAAAAGCGTGATCGCCATGGTTGTACAACGTGAAGCTATGAGACTGCGGTGGACAATCTTTCTAAACATCGTTCACTGCTGTGAATTTGTAAACATAGCGAATTAAATTTAAAATAAAAGATTTCCGAAACGGTACGGAGGGGAGTAGTGTAAATGAATAATCACAAGTTATCACAAGTTGCGCAGAACTATTCCAGAGTTTTTCAGAAGAAGACTACAATTAGTTTATTTAACATCTTTTATAAAATTTATCGGTCATTTGCTGTAGCCAAAGAACATTTAAAAGAAAGTCGAAGAGGTCTTGGAACTATGAAGAAGTTTTTATTGTTCAGACTGAAAAGGAAAGAGACCTGTAAACCGAAAGTGAGCCAGTTCTTATCAACCGATGCCAAAATTTCAGGTTCAATGAGTTCCGCATCCGGTTTGTCACTGGTCCAGATAAAACGATCATTGCTCATGTATGATGGCGTAATCATTTTTATACAAAACGTCACCGCCTGAATCTTATAATATTCACCAATACAACGTTATGGGAAATTAAACGCACAGCAGCGCATCCATCCCAGTGACTCCCATGACGCACGTCATTCTGGAAACTTCTTGATCGAAAACTTCCTTTAATGGCTTATATTTTAGGAGTTTTAGTTTGCTGTATACGATTTCGCGTATTATCCATTCGTACTATTTGTTGGCCAACAATAAAAGTGGTAAGTTTGAAGAACGGAAGTAATTAGAAATTTGCGAGACCGCTTCTCCCTTACCTTTCGCAAGAATGAAAGACGAATGAGAGCAACCGAACACGGGATGATTCTGTTGAAATGAATTCTGTTAAACACAATTTGAGGCGTTTAAAGGGTGAAAATTCGAAAAAAGTTGGGACAAGACGGCCTTTAAATCTGAGCCAAAAAACTACTAATAAGTAGTCGAAATGTTTTAATCTGATCAAAATTAATGAAATGATTTAATAAAGATCAAATGACTTCCAATAATTCTGTTAGTTGTCCTCTCTCTGAATGGACAAGACTCCTTCAAAGTCCGGATGTTATTTCAAAGTCAAAGGTTTCCTAAGCTTATTGGAAGACTTCAACATTACTCCAACATTTTTCTCTTTGCATGACAGTTTTCTGCCTGCGATTAGTCTCTAAGTCCCCCTAAAATTCATAATATTTCACGGTTAGCCGACATCATTTTGTAGACATATTATTCGTTGGTTTCCTGCTTTACTCTGCTTGCAAGATTGCTGATGAAATTGGGGACAGGATGGGAAGGAGTGACGTGTGACATGTTTGGCCCCTCAAGCATGGATGGAGGGATCTGAGTCGAAAAGAAGTTTCGAAGCAACAAAAAGTAGAAGATATGAATAGTGGTGTGCCTGGCTACAGTCTCGACGAAGTGAGAAAAGTTCATTTGAGTCATTTAAGTCGAATAACTCTTGACAGTTGTCGTAATATGACCACTTCATTCATGTGATTACTTTCAGCGACAGTGTCAGGAAAAATAACAAAAAATAACAATAAGAAGCGATTGAAGAAGGAACGAAGTGGAGGTGCGAACATGTTCAAGAAGGAAAAAAAATTGTCGTGGCGAAAGAGTAAGTTGCAGTTACCTTTTGAAAGGATTACTGCTTCGAAAAGTAACTTCTAGTGGAGTATGATGAAAGTTATTTGGTATGCATGGGTTACTTAATAGCTGAAAGTACACCAAGCTAATGTCGAAGGATGCATGATAAATAATGTGGAAAGATGGATGGTAAAGCAGCCTTATCATTAAGTATGAGAAATTGTCTCTTCACCTTTCTTTCTACCAGTTAGTAATGTTTATTGCTGATTGTTGATTTTTTTTGACGATATGAAAGATCAACAATAAGTATTAGGAAGAGCTGCAATGAAGCAATTTCGTGAAGATATATTGTTGGAACAGTTGATTCGAAAGCCTAAAGTTAGTGATGTTTTAATAATGGACACGTACGGTGATAATATGAATGAAACAGTTAACGGTGAGTTCAACCAGTAAAGAAACATTTCGTAATCATTTTCTCCGCTTATCATGTAAGCAGTTTATCTTCATTGATTCAATAGTCTTTGTTCTTGATGCTTTCTACAGTTACTGCTAAATTCAGTTTGAACTATTAGAAGTTTTATATTAATGGTATGCTATCACTACTTTGTTATTTTTACCCTCTAACTGTACTTACTGCGGCGATGATTGGAAAGTTGTATTAAGAGGAATCCTGTTTACTTCTTACTTATTGCTTGAGGTGTTATCACGATAGTAATGATTTTTACTGCTTTAATCATTTCAGGAAGGTTTTTGATGCTAAGTATAGCACTTCCTGGATCAATATTAAATAACGCACAAAGTCCAGAACTAAGAACTTATCTTGCTGGACAGGTAAACATATTTTAGTTTTAGCTATTATTTAATAAGCGAAATACTGCCATTTATCATCAGTCATATAGTTTCACAGTTTTTTTCAACTTTAATGGGGGCGATATCATTTTAGTCTAGCATCTATCAGTTTGGATAACTTAGGTAATGTAAATTACAGATAGCGCGTTCGGCTGCGATATTCTGCGTCGATGAGATTATTGTTTATGATGAAACAGCTCGAATGAAACCACAGTTGGTTTATTTTCCCACTCACGTGTTATGGTTCATAAAATCATTTTCGAATCGATTGGTAAAAGATTTTTATGTCCAGATTTATTTTCACTATGCTGATTTTTAGACAACGTGACGATTACTGCAGCGGAAAATGGTGTCCAGATCTGCCCGTTCACAGTGGCAATGTAGAATGTAATTTTCATCTGGCGAGAATTCTGGAATTTATGGAATGTCCGCAGTACTTGCGGAAAACCTTATTTCCTCTTCAAAAAACGTTAAGATATGCTGGTGAATTCGTATTTTTTAATTTTAAATGCTGATTTTAGAGCTTAAACTTCCAAAGAAAATTTTTTCCTCTAACTGCCAGCTAAATCCTTATAAGCTCAGGTATCCTGAATCCGTTAGATTGTCCTCATCATCTGCGTGCGTCAGATTTGAGTGTTCCCTATAGAGAAGGTGTTGTGCTTGATAAGCCGGTGAAAGCAGGTCGTGGACCTATTTGTAACATTGGTCTATACAAGGTTTGTTAATTTTGTGGTATTATATGGAATTAGAATAACCCGTTTTTTTGTAGTGATAGCAGTTCTGTTTTGAAATGTATTAGTGATTTATATTTTTCCCTCGTTGATTTTGATTTTTGTGATACCGCGAAAATAATGAGTAATGTTTTCAATTTAGGAAGTTCAAATTAATGAAGAAGTTGTACTTCAAGCTGGAACTCGTGTTACAGTGAAAGTATTGGATATTTACTCGGGTATTCCTGTTTCTTCACACTTTTATGCTACCTCCAATTTATTAAGGAGGTCATCACTTCAAAATAATTATGAAATGAGCTAGCAAACGAAGTAATCAGTGAATTTTGCTGTATTTTTCATCTCGCCAGTTTCAGTACCCTTTTAAGAACAGCAGATATACAAAATGTTTGAATCTAATTGAAATTGAAATTAAATTCGAAAACTGTTGAAAAATAAAAGGTCACGAAATAGCAGTTAGTAGTAATGGAGCAGAAAAAAATTTTCTTTGTAGAAAGAAAGCGATATCATGGATGTTTGGTGAATTCTCAACAAATAAAGCGAGAAACTGGATTATACTGGGGCTATAAAGTACGCATTGCTTTAAGTCTTCATGATGCATTGAATGCTGGGGAATACGATGTTATCATTGGAACATCGGAACGGGGAAAGCCAGTGAGCAAATTTGAGATGCCGTTATGTGAAAGGAAGTGAGCTTTTTTTGTCCCACAATATAAAATGTACATTGAAGTTGGTCTGAAAAGAATTTATTTTAATTTCACAGGCAGTTTCATTTTTAAATAGTGTTTTTGAGTAAGGAATGGGGAACAGGGACGAAAAGGGTTTCGTCCTTTTTTTCGTCGTTTCGT